GAATGAGGCTGCTTGTTGTTATTGCTTCAAGAAATCCTGTTTCTGTTGTTTAATTGCATATTTAGTCGAAATAGGCCTAGCTCCTAGATAATGACTTCTCCTTGATGCTGGACAAAGTATACGAGGTTCCAATCTCTCGTTTATTTTCTTCTTCCATTTGCCCGGACCCATCCTTTCTTTCTTTAACACTGTTGTTCGGTGTGCAGGGTCTGTTGTTTCTTCTCTGCTCCCTATGTCCACAAGATGTTTCCAAGATTCGCGTTGGACAGTTATCCCAGCATGGGATAGAAACACTGAGAAATATAGGGGAGTTTTTGGATTTGAAGTTCGTTATAAAGCCAGATCCAAAGACTCACAGTAATTCTTAAATGTATGGGTGCTGGCTTGAAGAACCTTTCCAGAAAGCTGTCTTGAAGGTGATGAGTCCATGTATTACTATAATTTACCAATTTTTTGTTACTTACAAGCTCCTAGGACTCATACTAGGACATTTTTGATCAAATTACTCTAGTTGCTCTTCTGTTAGTAATTCACATTTTTGGGCTGCAATGCATTAATCCAATTGACCAAATTTTCTTCTATTGAAGATTTCTTTTAGGTCACCCTCTTTAATTGTATTCATGAGAAAGTGATGAGAAAATTTTCTGGCCAGACCAACCATGAAGTCAACATAATAATATACAGATTTAAACAGTACGGGAGCTGTTTAGTTTCCTTTGTTTTTAAATGAATTTTAATGATTTACTATTCTATTCTGAGCAATATTTTGATAGGTAGTGTTTTGCATGTGTCTCACTATATTTGTAACAATATCTTGTACAATGTTCAAGTCAAATAGATTTATGTTGGGAAGTTTGGAAAGTTATCTTGAAGGGAACAGTTCCTTGGAACATTGGAGAAGACTGACTCTGCTAGATGTCTTCATATTTCATGTTTTCATATTTTTTTTTGATAATAGATTTTAATAATTTTGTTTGTTGTGTTTTCGTATTTGCTTTCTTTTTAAACTGGTTTTTTTTTTTTCTATTTTAAATTAGATAACTTTTTCTTTTATTTTAAATTTGCTCAATGTGTGCTTTGCTGGAACAGCTGAGCAGATCACCACAATTCCTCTTCTGTTAGCAATAGGCATTAATCGAGTTGATCAAATTATATTCATTGGAAAAATATTTTTTTATGGTTGCTTTTAATTGTATTCGAAGATTGATTACTTTTATAAGTTTTTTTTTTTTTTAATAACACCTCGTTATGAATGTCTTATTAATTTATCTTACGCTACATTTTGGGTAACTTTTTAAAGTAGTTTTATTAAGGCTCCTTTATGTTCGTCATTTTCATTACCTTTTTAATCCTTTATTACTCTCTCACTTTCATGGCTTTTATTTAATTTAGAACAATGAAGAATGTCCCGTCTTAACCCTAAACCAAAGCCTTAGGATTCGAGGTTGTAGATCATTTCACTCTATAATATATTACTTATTAAAACCAATTTTATTCGACGTGGGACTTTTCATATCATTTTTAAGTTTACTCATGTTTGGAGATCTTAACAAAAATAAAAAAAGAAACTAATTTTATGTACTTTACTAAACTTTCCACTCAAAATTCAAATGATTTATACTACTAAGTACTAATTGTACTCCTCCAGTGATCCTGGGTAAGCTGCGTTTACAACTTGCGCTGCTTTGAGATGATCTTCACTTCATTATAGACCAACCACAAGCTTCTAAAGCTGTCTCATGTTAAAATACCAGTACCTCCTATTCTTAATATAAAATCTCATTTGATTTTTATTTTGATCATCCGTGCATGGCCCCTATGCAATTTCAGTATGTGTATCCGGATGCTTCTGGGCCATGTTATGGATATTTCCTCTCATACCTTTTTTTAATTAATTCGAAATTATATTTCATTGAGAAAAAAATTGCACTAGTGCCGTTAATTTCACTTTTCAAAATAACATCGAAATATTTTTTTCCTCAAGAATATTGCTTTCTTGTTGCATTAAAAAAACAGAATATTACTTCCTTTTTGCATTTAGAAAAAACGAATATTACTTCCTTGTTGCATTTTGAAAAAAAATTACTTCCTTGTTGCAAAAAAACGAATATTACTTCCTTTGTTTTAGCCAACAATGTTACTTCCTTGCAACGTATCGGGAGAATTATAATAAAATCTTATGCAAGAAACATACAAAAATGTTTCATAACAATTTAGCAATTTGCAATAATAAGTTTCAGAACAGGAAATAACAATAGGTTTTCACTATTCGCTTGTTATTTGGAGATATTAAAAAATTATTAAATTACTTAATCATAGTATATGTTATAGTTTCTAAAATTCTTATATAGATAAGTAGACTATATATTAATTTATGAGTGAAGTAAATTAGTTTGGAAAAAAACAATAAATATAAATAGTTTAAAGTAATTAAATAGGTACTATGTTCTTTTAATGGGGCCTTATTATGATTCTCCCAAACAAATATTTTGTTTCTTGCAAGATAAACACCCTTTTAGCTTGTATGGGGATGAACTTAGGCTTATATATAACGAATAGAATGCTTATTGTTGCATACAAGGACGACAAAACTGCATTTTGCTAGTCACTCCTCGCCCAAACGCCAAGGTACTGATGACTAATCATCTACACTCTTCCATTGTGAATTCTTTTCTTATGTAATTATCTCGTTTTCTCTTGGTAACCTTGTAAGATTGCAAAGTAATGCATGGCTACTTCCAAATTAATAGCTTAATTCTTACCCTTATATTGTATTAGTTACCTGCTATGGAAGAAGTTTGGTTTTGGTGCCCATTCCAGTGATAAAATATATCAACATTTCAAAATCTACTCCGGACAGTTCACATTTAAATTTTTAAATTTTAAGTTCTTAAATTTTTTTTTGGAGAAAGTTTTAGTCTTATTTATAAGGTAAAGAGAAGAAATTTTTTGGTCTTATTTATAAGGGAGAGAAAGAATTTTTTCATATAGATGTATAATTTTATTATTTATTTATTATTATTTTGGTTTTGTTTTTATAGGGTATAATACATGTTAAATTAAATAGAGAGAAAGTTACTCATAAAAAAAAAATAGAGAGAAAGTTGAAAAGTTGAATTTTAATGCTGCTTTTTGAAATATGTTGGTATTGACTTGTAAATAGGACCACAAAAGTAATAATCAAGATATTATCTTTATTTTAAATTCTACTCCTAGATGTTATTTATAAGATAGAGAGAGAATGTTTCTTTTGATTTATTTATAAGTTATCTCATTAAATTTTTAGCTTGAATGTATTTTATCCTTCATTTATTATAGTGTAAATGATTATTTTTATGAAAGGTGCATATATAAAATAGGGATAAAATTGAAAAATTATTATATTTTAACAGAGAGTTAATACAATTTAAGATTTTCTTTAATCTACATAAAACATATTGAAAATGTTTTATAAATAGGACTAGAGACGTATTTACTACTCCCTCCGGTCCTTATTACAGGGCACTATCTACAAGAAATTCTGGTCTTTGATGTAGTCATTAACCAGCTCATTAATTGCTATTTTCCAATTTTATCTTTGTTACTCCCTCCGTTCCTTATTATAAGAGACATTTGATGCTTATGGCATGTTCCTATATATAAGAGACACTTAAAAGTTGTCTCTACTTTTTGTGTTGATTTCCTATTTTATCCATATTTATTGTCTCCAATTCACACTCTCTCTCCCTCCCACTTATCTTTCTTTCAATAATTTAATTGTTCTCTCTCATGCTCTTTCTCCTTATTAATGAGGGCATTTTTGGAAAAAGATTATATCTTTTTACACATTGATTATTCTTAACTAATTTTAACTACTTTTTTTATCAACGTAATTCGGTTATTTGTCTCTTATAATAAGGAACGGAGGGAGTATTAATTAAGGTTTAGGGTTAAAAAGCTGATCAAACTCCTTGTTTATCTATCTGCGTTATTTAAGTTGGGGCTAATCTTAAAAAATTTTATTAATTTAGGACAGATTTAATGCTTCAATTCTCATTTCTTGGTATGTGAGAATTAGTTGTATAAGACGAAGGGGGGTAATTAATTTCTTAAAAATGCGAAAATAATTCATTTTAGATCATCCAAACTTAATGTGACAGCACTTATGAGCATCGAAGCTAATCTCTATAAAAGATTCTCGAAAAACAATAATAATCATATTCTTTTCTCGTTACTTACAAATGTCAATATGTCTTGTACATCAATAAATTTGATTTGGTTTTTGGTTTTATACTGAAACCTTTTTTAATGTATAGTCTTATATGGCTACTAATAAAGTTGTCTTCATTTCAAAAAAAAAAAATCCTATATAAAGGGAAGATAATTGACAATGTTTACACTATATATTTATTTAAAAACCGCGTGTTTAGCAATGATAATTATGCTTACAATATATAAGTTGCTAATATTTGATGCCTATGCTATTAACCAATTTTATAGTTCATTTAATTATTTTTTTCTTAGGGTTGAGGTTCATACTGCATTTTGAAGTCTTCTTTCCAAGTGCATCCAGTACTTAAGAGTATTTAATGGTTCATCTAATACTCTGAAATATTTTTTTAGGTGCGTTCAAATACTCAAATATTTTATAGTTCATTTAACACCCTGAAATATTTTACAAGATACATCAAACATTCTAAGGGTTAGGGTATTTAGGATGCATATTAAGGTTCTTGGTGTATCTAAAAACATATTTAAAGATACTAAATGAATCATCATATATGTTAAGATGTTGAACACACATGAAAAAATACTTTAGAGTATCGAATGAACTACGTGATACTTTTAGGTGATAAACACAACCAGAAAAATATTTCAGAGTATTGGATTAACCTCAACCCTTTATGCTATGAAAGTGATTCAATATGTGAGATGTGCTATAAATATATATAGTTTATATAGAGTGTTCCTCCTTTCTTTTATTTTGCTTATTGGATTGCTTTCTAAATCAAATTTAATAGATGGAAGACGAAGTGATGGTTGACATCAAAACTATGATCGGAGATAGTGGATATGGTTATGTGTCACCAGACTGTTGTATCTCTAGAGTGATTCATACAGCACGTGATATAAAACCAAATGCTTACACTCCAAAGTTTGTTTCTATTGGTCCCTTTCATTACGGTAATGAGAGGCTGCAAGAAATGGAAAGGCACAAACGAGCTTTTCTCAAAAGATTTACTCAAAGAAGCAGCACAAAGTTGGATGTTATTATTAATTTTGTCAGAAGTTCAGTAACGAAAGTGCGCGCTTCTTATTCAGAGAACATCAACCTTAGTGACAAGGAACTTGTGAAGTTAATATTATTGGATGCTGCTTTCATCATTGAAGTTCTCTTCATTACGTATTATGAGCCGAAGATAATATTGAATGATGCTAAACTGTCACAGCAACCATTAAGTGGAATTCTACCTCTAGATTTAGTTTTTTTTGAGAACCAACTACCATTCTCTGTTTTGGAAGAGCTATTCAATATAGCATTTCCCCCTAACCTTCGTGATGATGAATCACTTTTTTTAAGCTTGCTTCTTGGTACTTGAGTGTGACATTTGACCTTGAAATGCCAAAGCATGATCTTGATAATGTAAGCGTAAAGCATTTCACAGACTTGCTTAGGTTTTTATTGTTACAAGGAGCACCTCCAGAAAAAATGGAGCCACTATTTTACACTACTGATGTTCTTTCATACAGTGCAAAGGAGTTGCAAGGATTTGGAGTAAAGTTGAAGGCTAGCAAAAGCAAGAGCCCATTAGACATCAAGTTTTCAGGCCATGTTCTGGAGCTTCCAAAGATTTTGGTGACGGATCTCGTGACCGAAGCTTTGTTCTTTAATATGATAGCTTTTGAACAGATCCATTGTCGTCAAACCTCTTTATTTCTAGCTATGCTCTTGTATGGAGTCACCTAATCAACACAAAGGAAGACGCGGATGTCCTCGTTAATAATAAAATAGTCCGCAGCTTCATTACTAATACTGAGGTTGCTCCGTTATTTATAATCATGGTAAAGAATGCCGGTCTAACAATGCTGATTCCTGAAAATGTTGATATCTTCAAAAGGTTGAAGAAGTTCTGCGAAAATGGTTTGCGACAGAGTAAAGCAAGTTTGAGACATGATTATTGCAGGATGCCTTGGCAAACTGTGGCCTCTTTGCTGCAATCATGCTCCTAATTCTCGCCATTCTTCAGACCATATTTTCTATCTCCAAGTAACAAAAGGAAAAACAAGTAGATTTATTTGAAGCTTGTGTGTATTTGAGTAGTATCGTGTCCTCAGAATTTGTTGTGTTCGCTTTCATTCTGTGTAATACTCTTTCAAATTGCAATTGCATAAGTCGCATAAGGATTCAAACCTGCTGTTAGTTCAGAGCACATCTTAAGCCCACTCAATGATGAAATGTTAAACCATCATTATTCATCATGTTATTTTTTAAACCCAGATGCAATTTTGTCCATAAAATCCCACAAAAATGTAGCTTTAATCAGTGTGATTTACCAATAAGTTGCTCCCAAAGTGTAGCCCCTATTTTTTTCTTATAGCCAATACACTTAATTGGTAAGGATATTTTAAGAAAGACAACACATATTTATTACAAATAACTAACTTAACATATTTTTTTAATCTCTTCAAATTAGTCAACTAGCTCTTATAATTAAGATCCGAGGCTACTTTTCCATCGGACCGTTACTTCCCATTGATAAAAGCAGGATTGATTAGCTTGATAGCTTCTTCCTTAAGTCATCTGGCAAACGCGAAACGAGCCAAGCAAATCTCCAATCCTCTCACTTCATTTTCCTTGACTCGGTGTCGTTGTCCTCAGCCTGTCACCATCTTGGTCCGCGTGCTCCTCAACCCGTCGCCGTCGTTCACGGATGCTCGGTGATCCTCAGTACGCCGTCTGTCGCGTAGCTCTGCTAACCCCATCAATTTGCAGAGCTCCCTCTTCCCGGTAGTCTATCCCTTCTTAATAATTTCGATTTTTAAACTTCAAACGTAAGATGTGACTGAACCTCTGATCTGTGATGGAGTATTCTTACAACTGCATTCACTGGTTGCCAGAAGTAAAAGGAACCTAATGTGAACTGGTCGTACGTAGCTGGGATTAAAAATAATGATTAACTCTGGTTTGTTACGTATTTTACATTAGCTGGTAAATAACATATTATTATTGTAATTTGGCCTTGGGATAGCATGTAATATTTTTAATTAAATTATATTACTTTAATCCTAGCCGATCTGACCGGCGACTCTTGAACATTCCCTTTCAAACCTTGCTAAATATTGTGCATGCCTATCGCATGTGGCATAGTGGGGCAGAGAGACCAGCGTACTTCGAGTAATCCAAGTGCATTTTGTGTAAGTTGTAATTGCTGAATAAAAAAGACAACAAAGCCGGCTATGATTAGTAAACAATTTAATATTCCAGGACAAATAACAATATGACAACTCACAATCAAGGTAACATAATTTTTGGTTCTTAAAATTGATCATATTTTAGTTTGGGTCCATCAAATTGCAAACTCATGATTTTAATCCCTGGAATTTAATATGTTTTAAAATGTTAGTTTCTAGAACCTGGAGGTATAATTGTGTTAAAATTTGTTGAAGTGTCATAAACAGCACCAAAATATTGATGTTGGACTCACAAAATAGTGCGTAATTGGATTTTGTGTAGATAATAAAGAGGGGAGAAAACACGAATAGGTCCTCGAAACATAGCCATTCCTCTGAGAAGTTATTCACTATATTTTAAGAATTCATCCTTTGTCGTCCTCTACATTGTGTTTTGAGGATCTTCTCTCTTTCTCTCTGTGTTTTTTTGTTTATCCACATCAGAGCTAGTTATGCATCATTTAGTGAGTTCGCATCACTATTTTAATGTTAATTATGACACTTTCATAGATTTTAGCACCATTACACTCTTAGACTAAATTCGAGGAACTAAAATTTTGAAATTTGAGA